ATATTATCAGTATTGCTAAGAATAATATTTATTGTATTTTGGCTTAAAAGAACTATTTATCAAATTTATCAAATTATTGATTAATAAAACCAAATAAAATTTTTTTAATGTTCGTCCCAGGTCCTACTGTGCCATATGTAATAATTTGTGTAACAAAAGTACCTTAAAATAAACATGTTAATTAGAGGGTGAACAAATCCGCCGATATGAAGAATCCAGGTGGCTAATACGGCTTATTCAATTGGCTAATCATCCACAAATTTACGCATTACACTATTCCGAGAATGTTATAATTTTATCTTATTTTGAGCTATACCGAATATTTCTGAGTTCTTTAAAATTTGCTAAATGTCCCGTATATTATGAAATCAGCTGTAATGGGCTGTAAGAATCCAGGTGGCTAATACGGCTTATTCAATCGGCTAATCATCTGAATTTCATCACTAATTTAGACGGATAACCAGCACAAATTTATGTGATAATCAGTTATAAGCGCTATCAATCTGATCAGCCAATTGGCTTTGGCAGTTTATTGGCTGCAACTTTTTTTTTGCCATGCATAAAAGCTCCAATATGTGTAACATGTTATTTTTTTATAAATGGGTGTTGATTAATACTTCGATTGTACTATATGCTTTTACGAGAGTTTTTTTAAAAATTCTCTCATGAAAGTGTTACAATTTTTTTTTCGTAATATCACGATGCAAAATTTTTGCATTAGTTCATTTATTTTTCATAATATTTCGCATTTGTTCATCCATTTTTCGCAATATTTCGCAAGTTTTTTTTCTTTTTTAGTATAGAATGGCAGAAATGACATTATGACAGCTTGCCTCCTTTTTCTGAACCTTTGGTTCATGTATTCCCCTTTTTCGTATTTTTAGTTCCTCATTTTCAAATTTCTGGTCCATGTCTTTCCCCTTTTTCTCATATATTCTCCTTTCGTATTTCTAGTTCCTCTTCAAATTTCTAGTAATATCTCTTTCTTCTTTTCGAGTTTAGTTCATATCTCCTCCCTCACATATTATCCCGATGGCTACAAAACGTGGCGAAAAACGAAATATTGATGATAACGAAAGAATCTCAAGATGTAATACTGAGAAGAGTAGTGAAGCCAAGAAACGAATAAGATTATCAGACGATAACGTCGAAGGTATATATGACATGATATGTATCATATTCTTTATAAGAAATTATATAATATATAGTTAAATTATATTTTATTGTTAAAGTTAATAAAAAACAATAGAAAAACTATTAAGAACCAATTCGCAGATAATTTCTAAGCTTGAAGTTCTTATCACCAGACAAAAAAATCTCAAAACCCGTCTCTCGAGCATAAAAAAAAAGCTCAAAGATAATAACAAAAATAATAATAATACAATAGATCTGGAGTATGTAAAGGTAATAAAGATGAATATTATTTAATGTAAACCTGAAATGCTAACCTCGTTTGATTAGGAGCTCGTTAAGAAGGTGTCGAAAATTTTATTTGAAAATTTTGTTTATCCTTCGCAAGACGAGTACAAACTCGCTACCGAAAAATATTTAAAAGACGAAAATCCGGAATTTATGCGCCAGTTCAAAAAAAATCAATGGATTATTTTTTTCGAAAAAAAAATTGCCCCGACTGTAAGTTAAAGCAATTATGANATTATAAGATTATTATAAGTATATTTTTTACATACTTAAAATATACTTAAAATATATTATGAAATATATTATAAGAATATTTTAAGTATGTAAAAAATATATCTATAATATACTTAAATTTTAATTTAAATATAATTTAAGTATATTTTAAGTATTTGGGCAAAAATTAAATATATTAGAAATATATTTTAAGATAATTTTAAATACATTTTAAGTATATTATAAGTATTTCGCAATTTTTAAATTAAATATATTTTAAGTATATTTTAAATATATTTTAAAAAGTTTTTAATTATATTTTAAATATAAATACTTTTTATAGGGCGTTTGATTAGAAGCTCGTTAAGAAGGTGTCGAAAATTTTATTTGAAAATTTTGTTTATCCTTCGCAAGACGAGTACAAACTCGCTACCGAAAAATATTTAAAAGACGAAAATCTGGAATTTATACACCAGTTCAAAAAAAATCAATGGATTATTTTTTTCGAAAAAAAAATTGCCACAACTGTAAGTTAAAGCAATTATGAATTTTATTAAATTTCATACTAACATTTTTTTTTAATAGTTAGTACAACAAGTCAACAACATAGAAGCATACGAGAAACGTTCACGTCTAGAGTCAAAGACGTTATGTATTCTGTTTTCAAAGCGACTGGGCATAAATTACCGTCTATTAACACTCAGGCTAGTCCATCAAAGATTCAGGAATGGAAGAGTAAGGCAGAGGTGAAAAGATGTTACAACAAGTCTTAAGCCTTACAATATAATGATTTTATATAATTCAATAGCTACTATTAAAGGATATAGATGAATTTTATAGGGTGATGGTAACTGGTAAGACACAGGAGCAATCTTAAGGATGGGGAACTGGTTTGGAGTTTTAATAAATTAGTTATATAACAGATGCTTTTGTATCATTACATATAATTAATAAACTTACAAATTGCACTACCTTGGGAAAAAAAAAAAGAATTACAGTTTATTTATTTATTTATTGACTTTTAGCAAAAGTTGGAAAATAGGGATAAATTTACACATTCGGACGACGATTCTCATGATGGTAATGATGTAGATGATAGTGGTAATAGAGCAGCTGATGATAGAGCAGGTGCGGCTGACGATGGTGCGACTAACGATGGTAGGCCTAACGATGGTACGGCTAACGATGGTGCGGCCAACGATGATGCGGCCAATGATGGCATAGCTGATGATGATATACTTTCTATTGACTCTTATAACACAGAGGAGGAAGGTCGGTATGTAAATAGTTTATTAAAGAATTATGGGTTGCATAGGAAATAAATATTATTTTTTATATATATCACACGTAATAGTACCATAATAATATAGTTTTAATAAATAAAATGGTTATTAATTCTTAACAACACGGGTGTGACATAAATAAATCGTGGCTGAAATTTGCGTTCAATTTGTGTTCAATTTGTGTTGATAATTCTGGTAAAAATTTGTTAATTTTGGTGAAATTTCGTTAAATTTGTTAAATTTGTGTTGAATTTGTGTTGATAATTTTTAATTTATCACGAGGGAATGATATTTAGTAATTGTGCATATACAATTTCTGTACGATGTACATGATTTTTTAAAATGCGGATTTCCGTAATTTTATGATATCGTATTTTCTGGCCAATCAAAATTAGGCTGATCCTTGCATGTGATTTAATCATTTAATCATTTAATCATGCATGCGTTTTTGTCTTATTTATTTTTGTTTCTTATTTCTTTATTCTTTTGTTCAATATTTTTAATTTTTTTGTCTCTTCTTTCTATTATTTCTTTAATTATATACAATATATTTACATATATTTCATAATTTATTGCTTTGCAGGTATAGAAATATTTGTTTATTAATACTAATTAGTTTCATTTTTTTTTACCTCTTTGTTACTTTGTATCGTAATACTAACAATAATATCCATGTTTCCTTTATTCCTTTTTACTTATACTTTAATACTAACAATACTAACAATACTAACAACATGTTTATTTTTTCCTTTCTCTTTATTTCTTTATTCTTTTGTTCAATTACTTTGCAGGT